TGCTCCTCACAGAACGTGGTGGCTTTGGAGACTAATTACAAGGTTTTGACTAGATGGTATCTGGTCCCAGCGAGGATTGCTAAATATACCCCTAATTACTCTTCTGAATGTTTTCGGGGGTTGTGCGATGGTAGGGACTTAAATATAAGAAGTGCGGCGCTAATAAATATGTGTCTCAAGTGAACCAAAACACAAATATGATAGGCAAAAATTAATATATCAGATAAATAATAATGTCCAAGTAAAACGCAGGATTTTGCATGAAGTAAAAAGAACCAGGATCCACCAGTAAAATTGCGCACTCTCCGGACGCGCTATAAAAAAGCGCATATGTGTAGTATGACCACTGGAAATCCATCATGCGGGGACAGTAGATAGCCATCCAGGAACAGGTGATCTCAGTATAATGGACAACTTACAGATCCAGAAATCCCCTTAAGACTGGGTGAATGATAAGTAAGGGACTCCCTCCGGTGGTGAAGATGAGAAATGGAATTTCCTGAAATATGTTAGCTCCAGATAGGAGCCAAAAAACAACTCATAGTGTAGTATGTAAAAAGCAAAAACGTTTATTCCAAAAATTTAACAACTTAAAAACAGGGCAGAAACACTGTGACAGTGAACAATGAATGGGAGTGTAACTGACCCAAAAGTAAGATGGCCGCCGGGCCTCCTCGTGGCTCCAGGCGGCTGAATGTCACGCTCTGCTGGCTCCTCCTAAGGCCTTTCGTGCTCCAGCACATCATCAGAGGGGATGTGCGCAATTTTACTGTTGGATCCTGGTTCTTTTTACTTCATGCAAGATCCTGCGTTTTACTTGGACATTATTATTTATCTGATACATTAATTTTTGCCTATCATATTTGTGTTTTGGTTCACTTGAGACACATATTTATTAGCGCCGCACTTCTTATATTTTTGTGTATTTTGAGGGTTTTGCTGTGATTACCTTGAGTGCATTGGCTGCTGCTGAGAGAGCGCTCACTTTTTTATTTTTTCTTCTGATGGTAGGGACTTACTTCCATGTTTGGTGGGCCTGCCCGGTTGCCCAAACCTTTTGGGCTGAAGTTTTCCATATGCTATCCCATCTCTTTGTAAAATCAATACCGCCAGACCCAACCATTGCACTCCTTAAACTTGCGCCCCACCTCCATCTCCAAATCCCAATTTAAACTGCTCTTGAAAATCCCTACTGCAGCTAAATAGATTTTGGCCAAATCGTGGAAGTCACCATTTCTATGCATGCTAGCAGTTCGAAACAAGATTACACAAGCGATGATTCACGCCAAAGTTGAGGTCACTATTTTAGATTTGGTCCCTAAGTTTCTATCGATCTGGACCCCATAGGTGGAATGTTTCCTTCCACCAAACTTTGATGACTCGTTGCTCCTTCCCTGACGTCCTCTTTTCCTGCATCGTGATAGTCCTAAGAGCTGTGTTTTGTGTTGTCCTGGTTCCGAGATTCTCTATTCTCTCCCGGAAGTCACACGCCCTCTCTCTCCCCTACTCTCACTTTTAGTCTCTCCTAATTCTCTCCCCCCCCCTTTCTTTTTTTCTTTTTTCCTTCTTTCTCCTTTTTATTCTTCCAGTCTACCTTTGCCCCTCACCTCATGTTTCATACGGAACCTCCAATTGATCATTGGGAACAGTGCTACATCTCTGTTGTACATTTATCTTCCCATGTACTACAGTGTCTCTTCATGTTTTTATATGGTTCCTCGTAACAAGTTTTCATGTAATTCTTCTTCCTTGTAGGGCAACATGTTTTTCTGTATTCACTCAAGCCTGTATATGTTCATGGACCGTCCTACTTCTGTTTCTTTTTATGTTTTTGAAACCATTAAAAAGTTTGAACAAGAACCATTTGGGTGATTTCTGTTATCATTATGATTTAAAAAGGAGCCAAACTATGTGATAATAATTGGTTTCATATGATCTCTGTCCTTTCATGATTTCTGCCAAGGTATGCAAACTTTTGAGCACAACTGTATTGGCATCCCCCAAAACATAAGACTCGAGTTACTAGTGAGTTATTTTGTCTTTGGATATACAGACATTACCTTCATGCAGGCCATAGATGGATAAATGTCTTCTGGAGAGCAATTGGTATGGAGACCTCTACCCAGTATATATAATCCACTGTTGTTTTATTTTGTGACTGCATTGGCACATATATCACAGAAATTAGCCAGCAATTAGGAAAATTTCCATGGGTGATAACGAGTGCTTTAAAAGTCGTTGTCGTCCCTGTAGAGTAACCCTAAATAGCCTGATGCTTAGTCAAATGCCACAGTTCTGTGTAGCATTTGGTCTCTTATGGCAATGAAAGGCTGGTAAAGGGCCGAATATCAGCTAGTTTAACAGAAACCAGTTGGCATTTCGCTTGTTTGTACAGCAGCCTGTCTGACAGAAGTCGGCCTGATGAAGGGCCATGCTGGGAAACCACCAGCTGACCCGCATCGGATCAATGCTCACAGCCATTGGCCGGTGTGTTCTGGCAGGGAGGCAGTTCCCCTGTCAGAACACTATAGCTTAGTGGGGAGATTATTATTATACAGGATTTATATAGCGCCAACAGTTTGCTCAGCGCTTTACAATATAATGGGAGACAATACAGCAACAATACAGTTCAATACAAGAGGGATAGGAGGGCCTGATCCTGGGAGCTTACAATCTAGGAGGGAGGGGCTAATGGTACAAAAGGTAATAACTGCGGGGGGATGGACTGGTAGGAAGAGTAGAAGATTCCATTGTTAGCTGAGGGCAGGATAGGCTTCCCTGAAGAGATAGGTTTTCAGAGATCGCCTAAAAGTGAGCAGAGTAGGCGATAGTAGGTAGATCTTTGTACTAACATTGCACAGCACAGCGAGCCCCTCATTTTTTTTTTTTTTTCAATTAGCCCGCTGGGTTGAATGAAAAAAAAAAATACCTGTGTGTACCAGGCTTAAGGCTATCCAAACATGGCTGAATCCAGGGTCCAGGACCTGAGTAAGAGAGATCAATAGATTCCTCCATTTGAGTTAAACTACATAGATGCAGGAATCTCTTCTGCCAGTTATTTTACTCTGGTTTTCAAAACTCGTACAATGACTGAATCTGACTGGCTGTAGTTACTGTTTGGCTGAGAATGTTCCATCTGCTTTTATTTTCAGATCGAACTTTGTTGAACTGGTTAGTGCCAAGAGGACAATCCATGGCTCAAATTTTGGTTGGTGCAGCTGGAACTGGCTGAAATTCTAGTCGCTTACGGCCAGCATAAGTCATACTACTGGTGACCACCATACCTGGTATCAATTTTAGAGGCAACTTGTGTTTTAAGTTTAACTGTTCTTCTACCCCCATCCCAGTTAAAAACAAGAATGTGTAAAAAGCGATTGTAAATATACTTACGTCAGGTTCCAGCTGCAATCGTACATAGTAATTGTGTATTATTGAGCAATGCTATAACCATTTGTCACTGGTGCAAGACTGCAGAGATATTTGCACATATGGAAACCATTTGTCCAGGAAGGTTTAAGTATTTTGCCTGTGAAATATCTAATGTCCTGGGACATCTTGATGGGACCTGGTGTAAAGAAAAAAAAAATACAAATTGTATGAAAACAATGTGACATGTATTCCAACGTCACAGTGGAGTATTCTTAATTCAAATAACTGGAATGCATGACGAGAAGTAAACAGATGACATAACCTATCCTGAGGCACCACAAGGGTTTCCAAAAACGTCCTCCAAAAACTCACGGTTATAGGCCAGAGAAGATAAGAATAAAAAGGCGCATTTCTCTTACTGTTATTATTACTTTTAAATGCAATTGGAGTTTACAATTACTGGTTGGAGGCCTGGTTCAGCGCTGTGTTTATCTATAATTGAAAACACTTGCAGCTCAGGAAGAAAACGAAGAGCTAAAATGATATGCTGCAATGATGCCAGATGAATGGTACTACCGGCACTAGAGCCAAAACCTCATATGAAGCAGCCTTTGGCTCCATCTGTATTTGTTTCAACATTCCCATACTGGAGTGACATCCAACTGAATTTATTAAAATGTTTTTGTGACATGACTTTCAGTGATCTCTGCAGATCTTTTTCTGCGTGTTCACTTTTTTCCCTGTGGGAAAAAGCCAATGTGTTATCACAGTGCTGCAAACCTTTCTCACCTAAGCTGGCCATAGACTGTTCGAATCTCGGATGGTTCACTAGGGACCAACTAAGATTCGAGCCATGCATGGGCAGGCTGAATGCACCCAAGTTGATCGATCAATCAACTTGGGTACAACTGGCCTGTCAGGTTTTACATGCAAATACCGCTAGCATCTATTATAGCTGCTAGCAGTAATCTCTGTGTTCTCCTGGCGGGGATGGATCCCCCTGCCCCCCTCCGCTGGGAAAACACAGAGATTCCCTATCAGCATTGACTATGTTGATGGGGGAACAGGGGCGGACTGACCATTTGGGAACTCGGGCACTGCCCGAGGGCCCGGGGTCAGAAGGGGGCCCCATGAGATGCCCCTGGTACCTTTCATAGGCTTTTTTTGGGTGTGGTTTGAGAGTGGGCAAGGACACAGGGGCCCCATGATCCCCTATTGCCTGGGGGCCCCATGAGTTGTCAGTCCGCCCCTGTGGGGGAATCGAGCGATTTTCTTTCCTGCCACCCGTAGTTGCAGGAAAGAAAATTGCATTGTCTATGGCTGGCTTTGCTGAAGTTTTGCAGTGGCTGTGTGATTCCATCCCACTGGGATATGCACCAAGGAGAATATAGCAAGTGTTGTGACAAATGTTTAATGGCAGTCCATGCATATAGTAATAAGTTATGGTTGCCCTACATTGTGCAGTGTACTCAAAGTGTTGCAACAGATGTGTGATGGAATTAATAACCTAGCATTTCAAAGCAATAAAAATGTGTAATGTGAGAATGCTGAATGTTCTCTGTATGTTGAAGAGGAACTCGCCCCCCCTATTCTCCCCCTACTCCTTTACCTGCATAGTCAGGTTGTTCCCTAAATGCATACTCACAAACCTGCCCAGGGGCGGACTGACCATTTGGAAACTCGGGCACTGCCCGAGGGCCCGGGGTCAGTAGGGGGCCCCATGAGATGCCCCTGGTACCTTTTTCATAGGCTTTTTTGAGTTTGGGCAAGGACACGGGCCCCATGATCCCCTATTGCCCGGGGGCCCCATGAGTTGTCAGTCCGGCCCTGAACCTGCCTATCTAGTGGTGTTCCCCAAGGATCTGTATCTGCCGCAGCATACCAGTCCCATGCCACCAACTTCTGACTTCACCAGTGAGGCCAGATGTCTCTTTCAGGTTGTGCAATGGCCCTGTGATTACATGTACAGTATGTCCTGTAGTGTACCCAAAACCTCCTGGGACCCATGACCAGGTATTTCTGCCCCCCACCCCCCCACAAAAAATAATTCTGTTAGATGATTGTTGTACCACTTGGGTACAACCAGCATGTATCTCCAAAATACGACCGTTCCTAACCCCAGACACTACTAAACAACTCGTTCACTCCCTTATTATCTCACGTTTGGACTACTGCAACTCTCTCCTCACCGGCCTACCTCATCACAGACTATCCCCGCTTCAGTCTATCCTGAACTCTGCGGCCAGACTCATCCACCTTACCAACCGCTCCGTATCTGCCACCCCCCTTGCTGTCATTCCCTCCACTGGCTCCCGATTGCCCAATGCATCAAATTCAAACTACTAACACAGACATACAAAGCCATTCATAATGCTGCCCCAAACTACCTCACCGACCTGATACCCAAATACCACCCAACCCGTAATCTTCGCTCCTCACAAGACCTCCTACTTTCTAGCTCCCTGGTCTCCACCTCCCACGCCCGACTGCAGGACTTCTCCAGGACTTCCCCCATCCTCTGGAACTCACTACCCCAATCCATCAGACTGTCACCTACCCTCCTCACCTTTAGACGCACCCTGAAAACCCATCTTTTCAGGGAAGCCTACCCCATTCTCACCTAACTGCCGATCTCCTCCACTCCTCCTACCACTCCATCCCACACAGCCACTTCCTCCTGTGCCACTATCCCCTCCCTCCTAGATTGTAAGCTCGAAAGAGCAGGGCCCTTGAACCCCTCATGTATTGTTTTAATACTGTATTGTCTCATGTTCTGTCCCCCACTATAATGTACAGCGCTGAGCAAACCTTTTGGCGCTATATAAACACTGTATAATAATAATGTTGAATTTTCCATGCGATTATTACTATAAAAGCTGCTAGCAGCAATCACTGTGTTCTCCTGGCAGGAGCAGTTCCCCCAATCCCACACCGGGAGAACATAATAGCTCCGTGGGAAGGGCTCCCCCCTCAACACTGACTCTGATCTTACCATTGGTTCCCTGAAACCTAAAAAATTATTTTGTTCCCCAGGTTGAGAAAGGCTGGTCTAAAACAACAGTGAGACCATCAACTACGAAAAGAGCATAGGAGATATTTTAATAGCAAAATCATACTACTAAAGTCACTGACAATTGATAAGAGTAACTCCTGCAGAATAAATGGCTCCCTTTGGTGTTACTGGAGAACACACAATATACCAATGTGTCCATGCCAAGCTGTATGAACTGTTTGTGCACCTTAAACTGCTTTTTGTTGTGAATTGTGTTTCCTTCCATTGAAATCTTTTACTCTTGATAAGGAAGATTGGCTTCCTCATGAACCATGTCAGTCACCAGTCTACAGTGTATTTGTACAAGGATGTATATATATATTTGTTTTTTCTGGAACATTGCATTTTGCTATATTTAATTAATCTTCTGTTCAACTGGTTTCAGTCAGTTTAGCTGTTTGATAAATATATTTTATTACTTCCTGTTTGTCTTAATTAAATGAGAGATCCCCATTCAACAAATCTGATGTGTGAAGTACAGAATGGGACCCTGATAATGCAAAAATGTTGGCATTCTCTTTCATTCACCTACAGGTCTATTGGTTGGGTCATGTAAGGACAGACTGGAATGCGTTCCAGTAATCACAACTGTGTGCTATTGAAGAAAAGTTCATGTTGTTTGGAATTTCCCGTGATCCCTGTGAAAATATACTCAAACCTAAAACATGTGTTTAACATATACATATGCAGAATAAGTCCTCAAGTAATTACCCCATCACACAATTGAAATGCATGTGTTTGACATGGTGGATCACCCCCTAATAAACTCCACTCCTTTGGTCTCTATGACTGTACTCTTGGTTCTCATCCTGTCTATCCCACTGCTTCTTCAGCGTTATGTACAATTCTACTTTCTCCTCTCCTCTTCCTTGGTCTATTGGGGTCCCCAAGGTTCCTTTTTTGGACCTCTCCTATTCTCGATCTACACTTCATCCCTGGGTCAGTTAATAGACTTCTATGGCTTGCCATACCATTTCTAGGCTGATGACACCCAAATCTATCTCTTTACCCTTCAGTTCACTCTATCAGTCTCTACACACATCACTAATTTACTAACAGACATATCAGACTGGATGTCGCACCACTTCCTCAAACTCAATCTATCTAACACCGAGCTCTTAATATTTCCTCCCCACGTGCACCTTCCCCTGACTTCTCTGTCAAGATCGGCTCAACTATCAATCCATCCCCACATGCCAAGCTGCTAGGTGTAATCTTGGACTCTGAACTATCCTTTCGGCCCCACATCCAATCAATGTTCATAGCTGCCTCAACCTATGCAACATCTCCAAAATACCCCCTTCCTAACCAATGACACCACAAAACTAATTCCCTCTCTGGTCATCTCTCGCCTAACTACTGCAACTCCCTCCTTGTTGGCTTACCTTTACATAGGCTCTCCCCCCTTCAGTCCATCATGAATGCTGATGCCAGACTCATCCACCTTACCAACCGTTCATTGTCTACTACTCCTCTCTGCCAATCCTTCCACTGGTTCCCACCCACCCAACAAATAAATTAAACTTACTAACAATAGTTTACAACTCGGCCCCCAGCTACATCACTAACCTAGTCTCCAAATACCAACATAATCATTCTCTTTATTCCTTCCAAGACCTCCTGCTCTCTGTCTCCATTGTCACCTCCTCCCATGCTTGCCTCCAGGACTTCACCAGAGTCTCTGCCATCGCTCGGAACTACCTACCCCAATCTGTCTGAGTATCTCCTACTCTGTCCACATTTAGACAATCCCGGAAAAACTCTTCTCTTCACAGAGGTCTATCCTGACCCCACCTAACGACTGTACTTTTATTTTCAACAGCTCATCCCCCACAGTTATTAAATATTGTATCTCTTGACCCTCCCTCTTAGATTGTAAGTTCTAGTGAGCAGGACCCTCTGATCCCTACTGCATTGAATTGTTGTACTGTTTGCCCTCATGTTGTTAAGCGCTGCGTAAACTGTTGGCGCAATATACATCCTGTATTTATATTAATAATAATGAGCAATGAGTGAAACTTCCTTTGGTGGCCTGACAAGCACTTGTCCCTGTTGAAAAATTGCGTAGATGTATGTTTAAGCCTTTACTTGTTACAGATCTCCTGCACTGTTATTACTTCTGTGAGCTGGAGAGTCCTCCAAGGAGGGGGTGATGTCCTGTCATGGAATAGGTGTAAAGTGAGCGTGCTTGTGCATTGATTTGGCAGTTATGAGTCCTTAAACCTCTACACTGGTAGCTAAAATTAAGATCCTAAGCACAGGGATCGAGCTTTGTAGGCCTATACTGAGGGATGGGAGATGTCAGTTATGAGGAACTACTACAAACATTAAACTTCTCCCAGGAGACGAGACTCTTAAGTGGGGATAAGATAGTGACATACAAAATCCTTGAGTGGTGACACTAACATTGGAAAGAAACTTTTTAATACTTGATCTCTAAAGAGGACGTGGCCACACAAGGAAGTTGGACAAGAAAGTGTTCAGTCTTAAACTGCGTAAGTGATTCTTTACTGTTGGAGTAGTAAGGATGTGGAACTTTCTTCCACAGCTGGTGCTGTCAGCAGAGTGTAGAGAAGTTCAAAAACGATTTATGATGTGTTTCTTTGTGATCACAATGTATATATGGAATATATACATTGTGATATGGAAAACAGTAGCCACACACACACAAACACTCACAGGTTGAAGTGGATGGACTGGAGTCTTTATTAAACCATGTAACTATGTAATATGAGTTGTCTATTGTACTTATTGGTAACTGTGGATGATGCATTTCCACCGTTAAATGGAGCCTACATTACTGGTAGGGCATTGGGTGGGAGAGCTGCAGAGGACCTCTCACTTCAGAGCCCCACAGAAATTGCTATTAAATATGCATATGACTTATACTAATTCCATTTCTCAGGTAAGATTGTTTTATAAAATAAAATCCCAATTGGAACAATTCTATAAAGGAGAAAATATTACACTGTGAAAACCAACACTGAGCACAATCCATGTTGACTGCTCAATTTTATTATAAGCTTTTCCACCCATTAAATATATCCCATCTAGTACATCCATAATTTAACCTTCATGCCCAACTTCAGCCAAAACATTTCATTTTGTTTTGGACATCATGGGAAGTACAGTAGATATACCTTGCAGTCTCTCCCAGGCAAAGATTTCAAAGCAGACTTGGGTTTCAAGATGTGCTGTTCAAGCTCTTTTGAAGAAGCACAAACAAACAGGCAACGTGACACGTATCCCAACATGGTTGGACAAGGAAACTTAATGCGGCAGATAAGACACATCATGCTTACTTCCCTTTGACATTAGAAGATGTCCAGCAGTGTCATCAGCACAGAACTGACAGAAATCAGGGGGACCCAAGTATACCCATCCATTGTCTGATGAAGTCTGGTCAGAAGTGGTCTTCAAGGAAGAATTGTGGCCAATAAGCCTTACCTCCGATGTGGAAACAAGGCTAAACAACTCAACGATGCACAAAAACATGGGAACTGGGATACATAAAAATGGCAGCAGGTGTTTAAATATTTGGCTGTAGCAGGAGGCAGATTGTTCACTGAAGGGCTGGAGAGCAGTACAATAATGAGTGTCTGCAGACAACAGTGAGGTATGGTGAAGGTTCCTTGCAAGTTTGAGGCTGCATTTCTGCAAATGGAGTTGGAGATTTGATCAGGATCAATGGTGTCCTCAAAGCTGAGAAATACAGGAAGACATTTATCCATCATGTCATACCATCAGGGAAGTGTGTGATTGGCCTCAAATTTATTCTGCAGTAGAAGGGCCCCACGCATAACAGCCAATGCCATTAAGAATCAGGCCTGGACCGGGCACATGCCACATGACCAAGGCAGCTGCCTGCTCCGCTCATTCGGCCTCTTTGCAGCCAGCCACCCATTCAATTC